CCTCGTGTGGGGCTTCTATCGCGTCATGTGAAAATGTTGAATTGTCTTACTAGGTAGTGATTGTATGTTCTCAAAAAACTGTTGTCAAGTTCTACGGGTATCTTGTTTTGGAATTTTGATGGTACATCTTGTATTTGTGCATTATTTATTGCATATTTTTAAGATTCAGAACATATATATCTATCTATCCGCTCGCTCATGGCTCATCCGCTAGCCTGCCTGCACTTGGAGATTATGTGCCGCCAAATATCACATTGATGGGAATCGACGTTGATGCAGAGGATGATATCCCTACAGATGAACAAATTGTAGCAGAGCTCACAGGAGGCTGAAGATCGAGCAATCAAGTCATACGGTGGTTCCATTTAACGTTGGTGATGTCGTAGTGCCCGAGATCCAATACCACCCTGTACTTGCAAGGAGAAGTAATGCTATGACACCAGTGCACCCTCCACCCAACTTATGAGTATGTTTGGTGGGATGTATTTAAGGGCAAAACCAACTTAAGGCCCAGTTTCAGACCCTCCAAGAAGGCCAACTTCAGACTCAGTTTCAGGCCCTCCAATTTCCGAAAATTGCCCAGGACTAGTCCGTTGGGAGGGTTGGCACCAACTTGATAAACATGGTTCAAGTTCAAGTTGACCCTAGAACATTCGGGGGTCCACAAATGGATTGCCGACAAGGTTTTCTGGCAATACCTCGGACGCTATTAGGGGCTGGATGGATTTGATAGACTGATTAACACTTCTCACTGCATTTACCCTGATGGTTACGTCCGACTTCATATTTACTGCCAACTTAATGTTCAACTTCAGGCTCAACAACATCAGATGCCCAGCTTCAGCAGACCATAAATGAAGTAAACTGTTATGGTCTTGCTAAAGTTGGGCATCTGAAATTGTTGTTGAGCCTGAAGTTGAATATGAAGGTTTTCAATTTTGTCAAACAATATCGCTAGATTTAATAATATAAACAAAAGCCTCAAGTATAGACTCGTCTTACATTTTTAACAAACAGATAATTGTTTATACTGAACACAAATCAATCAATGAATAGCATTATTTACCACACTAAAATGCAACCACCGGGTATGCACTGGCGGATCCACATTTAAGCAGTGGGGTCACAGGACCCCAACAAAGTTAAAAAAAAATGCCTATATATATATATATATTTAAAAACAATTAAAATTATTATTTTTATTGTGATTTATTGGGTGGTGCGGGACCCAGTGCCCCCCTATATTAAAAAAAAAAAGAGCAAAAGTCAAAAAGTTGAGGCAAAAAGGCAAAACGCCCATATGCCAAATTGCCAATTGCCATATATTAAAAAATAAGAAAAAGAAAAAGATACATACCTCATACCTGCTATTTGCGAGGCGACGACGCAGCTTCAGCCTTCAGTGAAAATTTCAGATCTTGCAAGCGCCAAAGCGAGGCTTCGACACTTTCGTTAAAATTTCAGTTTTTAGATCCTTGGGTAATCAATTATTTTCTTTTTCTTCAAGCAAAAATTGGAATATCATCCAATTTTTAGAACAAGAAGGAACAAGATTTTATTTTCGATTTTTCTTCAAGATAATTTTTTTTCTTTAATTTGAACACATTTTACTTTTTTGATGAGCATTATTAGACTATTAGTTTTCTATATATTTTTTAGTTGATTTTAATTTAACAAATTTAATTTATTTTGTTAATAATGTTAAATAAACATAAAATTTGGACAGGTTTATTAATGGAGAGATTTTTTTAAAAGAGCACGGAACAATAATAATGAGATTGGAAATAGCTCAAGTGTTGGGCATGTTGGTAGATGTCCTGCTTCAATGCCTAAAGAAGTTGATTTAAATGATCTTCCTTGGGACCCGGCAGATAGAAGACGAATTACGGAATATCATCCTAACCAGAGAGATGAAATAAGGAGAAAATATCTTAGTAGAGGACCTTGTCAACCCCGTGGTCATGATTTTCCAAAAAAAAAATGATGGGTAAAAAATTGAGGCGATTTAATGTTGTCTGGTTTGATCAATATAACTGGTTAGAGTACAACGTGAAGAAGGATAAAATATTTTGTTTGTGTTGCTATTTGTTTCGAGATAACTTTGAAAATAAAGGTGGAATTGATGCATTTGTTACTGAGGGCTTTTCGAGTTGGAATAAAACAGAGAGATTAGCCTCTCATGTGGGCGATGTTAATAGCTTTCATAACAATGCCGTAAAAAAATGTGATGATTTGTTGAAACAAAGTCAGTCTATTGCAGTTGTTTTCCATAAGCAAAGTGAAGTTGTGAAAAATGAATATCGTATTCGTTTAAATACCTCAATTAGTGCTGCTAAATTTTTGTTGAGATTAGGATTACCCTTCCGTGGCCATGATGAGTCAGATCAATCTGATAACCGAGGGGTATTCTTGGAAATGATAAAGTATACTGCAGAAAATAATGAGACTGTAGGGAATGTTGTCTTGAAAAATGCTCTAGGAAATAATCAAATGGTGTCTCCGAGTATTCAAAAAGACATTGTTCATTGTTTTGCTCAAGAAATCATCCGTTCTATTCTAGGTGAAATTGGCGATGGTGTGTTTGCTTTTGTTGGTTGATGAATCTCGGGATGCTTCTGATAAGGAGCAAATGTCAGTGGTTTTGCGTTTTGTTGATATGCATCGAGTTGTGAAAGAAAGATTTGTTGGTGTTATTCATGTGAAAGAGACAACTTCTTTGTCTCTTAAATCTGCAATTGATTCTTTATTTGCTGAATATGGATTAAGCATGGAAAAGGTTAGAGGGCAAGGCTATGATGGAGCAAGCAATATGAAAGGTGAGTTTAATGGCTTGAGATCTTTGATTTTAAAAGATAATAGTTCTGCATATTATGTTCATTGTTTTGCTCATCAACTTCAATTGGTTGTTGTGGGACTTGCAAAAAAGCATCATGATGTTAAGAATTTTTTTGATATGGTAGCTACTTTGTTGAATGTGGTTGGAGCTTCTTGTAAAAGAAAGGATATGATTCGAGAAGCCCAACAAAACAAAGTGAAAGAAGCCATTGGTAGTGGTGCAATTGCAACAGGAAAAGGGTTGCATCAAGAGATTTCTTTGCACAGGCCTGAGAGTACACGTTGGGGGTCTCATTACAAAACACTTTTGCGTTTGGTTGAATTATTTTCTTCGGTTATTGAGGTGCTTGAATTTGTTGAAAGTGACGGAAAAGATAAATCTAGACATCAAGCACGTGGTCTTCTCATTTATTTGCAGACCTTTGATTTTGTGTTTTACTTACACTTGATGTTGAAGGTTTTAGGATTCACAGATTCTTTATCAACGACATTGCAAAGAAAGGATCAAGACATCTTGAATGCTATGTTGTTGGTGAAGGCAACTAAAAGTCAACTTCAAAAGCTTAGAGATGATGGGTGGGATTCTCTCCTCGAGAAAATATCATCTTTTTGTGAGAAACATGACATTGCAATGCAGATATGGTGGAATCTTATATTGATCAGAGGCGGCCCAGAGCAAAAGAAAAGGTCACCAAGTTACATCATTACTCGGTGAATTGTTTTTACACTGTTCTTGATATGCAACTTCAAGAATTTAATGATCGCTTTAATGAAGTCAACTCTGATTTACTTATTTGTACGGCTTCGTTAAATCCTGCTAACTCGTTCCATGAGTTTGACCCCTCAAAGTTGATGAGATTGGCTGAGATTTATTCGGAAGACTTTAGCTCCATGGATCGCATAGCTCTTGAAGATCAACTTGGAGTGTACATTGATAATGTTCGAAATGATGGAAGATTTTCCAACCTAAAGGATATCAGTGATCTCGCTCGAGTTATGGTCGAAACAAAGAAACTTCTTTCGCATCCATTGGTGTATAAACTTTTGAAGTTAACTCTTACTTTGCCCGTTGCCACAACAACTGTCGAGAGAAGTTTTTCGGCGATGAAGTACGTGAAGAATTATTTGCGAAACCGAATGAGTGATCTTTTTCTAAATGATCTTTTGATTTAATGTAGAAAATGATTTGCTAGAAAATGTTACGAATGATGTAGTGATTGATCGTTTTCAGAAAATGAAAACTCGTAAGGAACAGTTGTAAGATATGACTTATGTGTAATGTTAAGACATTATTTTTTTTTTAAATTATTTTTGTTGTTAATTATATGGTGCCCCCATTATGTAATCATCTTGGATCCGCCATTGCGGGTATGTACGACAAAACTGGAGCCACATAAACTGTAAACCCGAATATGTCAACAAAAACAGCTAAAAAGTGTTGCCAGACCAGTTTCAAATTAGCACAAGTTCACTACTATTTACAAATATAGATGAGCAAGATAGCTTCACAATTTAAAAAGGCAACATATAAATGAGAGCCATACTGAGTTTCTAGATAAATCAGTTGAGTCCATCCCTCTCCATTTGTTGCTGATTAAGTTATTCTCTCATTCTTATTCTCCTCATCTCAGCCTCTTCTATTCTCTCCTGCACGTTACAACAACCATAGGACGGGCGAAAAGAAGTTGAACGTCCAATTACAGAACACATCTAAATTACCCAAAAAACCACGCTGCCTTTCCCACATATTAAATAATTCCTTACTTTTATTTTTTATATATATTTATATGCAAATATATAAGGTCAAGACTCAATCATGTGTTCATGAAGTTTTAAGATGTAATCAGGCCAACCGAGATGTGTAGTTTTTTTGTAGTTATTCGTTGAATTTTCCTGGAAGTCTCGTTAGCGTCAAGCAGTAGCAGCGGGCCAGCGACAGCTAATCCAGAAAGATGACATAAAAGGGAAAAAAAAAAAACAAGAATAACAGAGAAAGAAAGGGTTCTGTATTAAACCATTTCTCTTCCTTTTCTACTACAAATTGTTTTCTTATCATAACATCTAATTTGTTTCCCGTACGAGCTAACATTTTGTTCTTTTTGTCCTTGTGGGCTTTCATTTTTCCGTTCTCTATTGATTTTCTCACCAGATCTTATTCTTGTTCGATGGATTCGAAGCGAATCTTGAAGGAGCTGAATGATTTGCAGAAAGACCCTCCTACTTCTTGCAGTGCTGGTGATTATTTGTGCCCCCTTTTAAATTTTGTTATTTCCTTTATTTTTTTATTTTGATTTGCTTTTTGAGTTATGTTAGGGCCTGATCTGTTGAAATCAAAGAGGAAAATCGAAAATTCTGTTATTATTTTTCTGAGCTGAAAAATGTCCGTACATGCAGAATTTGGGGCTACATCGCTTATATACATTTTCCCATGCATATTAATCCTAAACGGCACCGTATAGAGCTAATGTTTATAGAGTCCAAAATAAGCTAAAACGACATCGTTCGAATTAATAAAAGCGTATCTAGTAAACGTGTTTTTAATGTGAAAAGTCTGTCTTTGTTTTATGTCTTCTCCTTTGATTCTTCACAGCACATCAATGGCTTCAACTTCTTCATGCTCTTATTCCAACAGCCCCCCCTCAAGGTGAGCATGATTGGAACATGCTCAGCTTGGACATGAGAAATGCAGCCTGTTTAGCAGGAAGAATCTTTGTAAAAATATCAGCCAGCTGCAGTTTGGAGGATATGTGCATGGGAAGAACAAAACCTTCTTTGAATTTGTCTCGTACAAAGTGACAGTCGATCTCTAGATGTTTAGTACGTTCATGAAACACGGGATTAGCTGAAATGTGTAGGGCCGCTTTGTTGTCACACCAAAGAGGAATTGGCAGAGATAGTTCACTTCCAAAGTCCTTGAGAATGAAGCCAATCCAGACCAATTCAGAGACAGTAGAGCTCATGGCATGATATTCGGCCTCGGCAGATGACCGAGAAACCGTTTGCTGCTTCTTTGTTTTCCAAGAAACAAGAGAGTCCCCAAGAAATACACAATAGCCAGTGACTGATCTTCGAGTATCCTTGCATGAAGCCCAATCAGCATCACAATAAGCATGAAGTTTGAGAGAGCCTGATGAAGGAAAATATAGTCCAGAGGAAGAAGTTCCTTTGAGATATTTTAAAATGTGCATGGCAGCTTCCCAATGAGCTGTGCAAGGGGAGTTGACAAACTGACTGATTTGTTGCACAACATAAGTGAGATCTGGTCTAGTAAGATTAAGATATAACAGCCTCCCCACAATTCTCCTAAACATTTCAGGATTATCAAGAGGAGGACCATCTTCAGCCAACAGTTTAAGACCACAAGGCAAAGGGGTGCTCACTGATTTGCAATCAAGCATGCTCATGTCTCCTAAGAGATCAAGAACATATTTCCTTTGGCAAAGTATTGTGCCCTTAGCTGTTCTGAGAACTTCAACACCCAAAAAGTATTTTGCAGCACCTAGATCTTTGATGGTATATTCATGATGTAAGAAAACCTTAAGATCATGGAGTAAATTTTCTGAATTGCTGGTGAGAAGAACATCATCAACATAGACTAGAATAGCCAAGAAATCAGTACCTCTATGCATGGTAAATAAACAATGATCAGAAGTGGACTGAGTCATCCCAAAATTAGTGAGTTTGGTGCTCAGCTCCTTGTTCCATTCCCTAGAAGCTTGCTTGAGACCATAGAGGCTCCTTTTGAGTTTGCAAACTTCACCACTGTGTCCTTTATGATAACCTGGAGGGGGGAGCATATACACTTCTTCTGTGAGTGTGCCATGGAGAAAGGCATTGTTCACATCAATCTGATGAATGGTCCATCCATAGTGTGTGGCAATAGATATGAACAATCTGACAGTAACCAGCTTGGCAACTGGTGAGAATATGTCAAAGAAATCAATTCCTTCTTGTTGAGTATACCTTTTTGCCATCAACCTTGCTTTAAACCTTTCAACTGTACCATATGAGTTTCTCTTGATTTTGTAGATCCATTTAGAGCCAATTGCTCTTTTGCCAGCAGGTAAGGTAGTCGTTTCCCAAGTGTGGTTGCTTTCTAAAGCCTCAAGTTCCTTATTCATAGCAGCTACCCAAGCAGGATGTTTCTTAGCTTCTGCATAATGAACTGGTTCTTTATCCACTAAGATGTTGGACATGAAAGCTGCAGTGGTGGGTATGTCAGGTAGAGTATTGTTCACTGATCCACAAATATAGTTTTCATGCCATGTAGGTGGCTTTCTAGTTCTGTGGCTTCTTCTGATTTCTGGATCTATGTCTTCACAAATAGGTTGTGCTGCAGTTTGCTGTGAGTTAATGTCTGCATCATTGTTTAAATCAGATGCACTGTGAGGTAGTGTGACTGGTTGTGAGCTGTGGTGGTCCATAAAGGGAAAGTTATCTGCAAGAAATACTACATCCCTGCTAGTGACAAGATTATCAGTCTCCATATCATACAATTGATATCCCTTTTTGCCTGCTGCATATCCCAAGAACAAGCATTTGCTTCCTCTTGCATCAAATTTGGATTTCTGAGGATGAATGTTGGCCACATATGCAAGACACCCAAAAGGCTTCATTCTTTTGTAATCAGGAGCATCTCCATGAAGTCTCTCATAAGGTGTTTTCCACTGTAATAATTGAGAAGGGACTCTATTTATAATATAAGCTGCTGTGAGGACTGAGAAAGGCCAGAACTTGAGTGGAAGATTAGCTTGAAAAAGTAGTGCTCTTCCTACTTCAAGGAGATGCCTGTGTTTCCTTTCAACAATCCCATTCTGTTGAGGACTGTAAGCACAAGTGGTTTCATGTACTACTCCCTTTGATATAAGAAAGGCCTGCAGCTCACCATCAATGAATTCTCTTCCATTGTCACTTCTTATTCTTCTCACCTTCTTCTGAAACTGTGTTTTGATCATAATGATGAAGTCTTTGATAAGTTTGGCAGCTTGGGACTTGTGTAACATGAGATGTACCCATGTTCCTCGACTGTAATCATCAACTATGGTTAGAAAGTATGGAGTATGGGTAAGAGAGCTTTCTTTGCAAGGTCCCCAAATATCTGTATGAATAAGCTCAAAACACTCTTGTGTTTGGATGCTGCTCCTTGGAAATGACAGCCTGTGTTGTTTTGACTTAAAACAAATGTCACAAGAGTGTAGTAACCTTTCTGTTTTATCAGTGCACTGTGGCTTTAAAAAATCAAGGTGTTTTAGAGCAGTATAGGAAGCATGTCCCAGGCACTTATGCCAAAGCTCAACAGAAAAACTGTTGTGTATTGTCTTCTCATCTACAAGCCTCCCTTTATCAAATACATATAGATTACCTATGAGCTTCCCATAACCACAATGCCTCCCAGTCTCCTCATTTTCAAGGTAGCAGTCTGTTGCATTAAAACTCCATTTCAGCTTATTACCATTACACATCTGCATAACAGAAAGAAGATTGTATTTAAAGGTAGGGACCAACAACACTTCTTTCAGGGTCACATTACTATCAAGTTCCACTTCTCCTTTGTAGTAAACATTTTGCAGGCTTCCATCCGGGAGACAAACTGCCACTGGTGTTTTGAGTGCTTGTGGATTCCTCAATTCATTTTTGTCCTTGCATATGTGTTTACTAGCTCCTGTGTCAATGATCCAATCCTTTTCTTGACTTACACTCACTGTTGACAAGGCATAGTGAACATTATCTTCTCCATCTCTATCAGCAAAGCTGACAAACTGTGCATAGTCCATCTTCCTTTCCATTTCTTCCTTTCCTCTTATGTATTTAGTAAGCTCATTCAACTGAAGTAGTACTGAGTTTAAGTCAGGAGTTTTTCCTTCCTCCCTTACTTCTCCCTTTTGCTTACCCTTTTCTGTATATCCTTGTACTTCAGCTGCATTAGCATATGACTTTCCTTGCTGTTCCTTATATTCCTTATACCACTCTGGAATCCCATTGGATTTTAAAACATGTAGTTGTGTTGTGACCTGACATCCCACATTTTTCACAAATCAGCTTTGCCTTTTCTTCTTTACTCATTCTTTGATATCCTCCTCTACCTCTTCCTGTTGACTGCCAACCTCTGCCACCATTATTTCCACCTCTACCAAAACCATGAAAACCCCTGCCAAACCCTTCTGATTTTGCTATCATAGCCACATTATCCAATTTTCCTGCATATTCATTTTGAACTGTTCTTTGCCTTTCAGCTGTCAGAAGCATAGAATAAGCCTTATTCACTGAAGGTAGAGGATCAATCAACATAATTTGATTCTTGATGTTATCATACACATCATTAAGTCCCATGAGGAATTGAATCAACTTTGATTCAGCATCTTGTTGTGCAATCAGTTTCCCTTTCTCACAGTTGCAGACTTGTAAAGGCACAATACAAGCATATTCATCCCATAATTTTTTGATTTTATTGAAGTATTCCATAACAGTACTGTTGCCTTGAGTTAGGGTTGAGATTTCTCTCTGAATTTTGTACCTCATTGGCCCGTTGTTTTCTCCAAACCTTTGACAAATATCTTCCCACAGTTCCTTGGCTGTGTCTGCATATAAGAATGATTCACCAATTTCCTTTGACAGAGAGTTTAGAATCCACGATAGGACCATACAATCCACATTTTTCCAGTTATCATATGCTTCATCATTTTCATCAGGTGGAGTGATTTCTCCAGTTACAAATCCGCACTTCTTTTTCGCTCGAAGCGCAATGATCATCGCTCGTTTCCATGATAAGAAGTTGTTACCAGTTAATTGATGAGTTACGAGCACTATACCCGGATTATCAGATCCATGAAGGTTGAGTGGATCCTGCTTTGGGTCCGCCATTGATGTTCTTCGCGAGCTTGAACAAAATCGTTTTGCGACCTCAAAGGATGATAAGAAGACTTACTGATCTACGATTGAGCTAAGATGAGCTTGGATCTATTCCGCCATGATCGCCCGCTCTGGATACCATGTTGAAATCAAAGAGGAAAATCGAAAATTCTGTTATTATTTTCCTGAGCTGAAAAATGTCCGTACATGCAGAATTTGGGGCTACATCGCTTATATACATTTTCCCATGCATATTAATCCTAAACGGCACCGTATAGAGCTAATGTTTATAGAGTCCAAAATAAGCTAAAACGACATCGTTCGAATTAATAAAAGCGTATCTAGTAAACGTGTTTTTAATGTGAAAAGTCTGTCTTTGTTTTATGTCTTCTCCTTTGATTCTTCACAGCACATCAATGGCTTCAACTTCTTCATGCTCTTATTCCAACATGATCTGCGATTTGGTGATGTTTGTGTGAGGAGAAATGAAAAAAGAAGACACCTTTTCATGTGGGCTTATGTTACTTTTACCCCTTCGATAACTTTGAGCTTTGCTAAGATGCAGAATTGTCTGCGAAAATTTGTCCCAGTGTATCGATGATTTGAATTAGGGAAGAATATGTGTGTGTAGATGACATTTTTTTCATGTGAAATTGTACCAGATGTTGTTTTGACGAATATTGAGCCTTAAAAAAATGTTGTCTTGACTCGCTAGATTTGTGTCTGTACATGTTGAGTAAGCAGTAGATCATTTTTTTGGACCCTTTCCTCTTTCTGTCGGGTAAAACGATTACGTGACGGTTTTTTTGACCCGTTTTCACCAGTTGTTGTCTGTAGCCAGCTCGAAAATGGGTATGTAGGTGGTCAATGTTTGATGAGTGGTAATAAGGAAGGGGAGTAAGAAATGATTGTGAAGAGATTTTCATTAACATATGGAAGGTGGTTAACTTGTTGCATTGTGATTAGATATTTGATATCTGCTTCAACTATATCCACCTCATGATCCCACCTTATTATGTTGTTTTTCATGTTTCACTTTCTTATTCCACTTTTGTTGACTCAGTGATGTTTATTTATGTTTTATAAGATAATACTTAATTGCTTATTATTTATGGCTGCAATGTAGCTTAGGTGTTGCCTTTTCAGAGGTGCTGTGTGACCACTAATTGTGATGTCTTGTTGTTATACCATTGGTTGATCTGATTTTCTTTGTTGAATTGTCGGAGTACTATGAGTATATGACATGTTCTGTAGTGTTACCCTGAATGTCCGAACTCTGATAATTATGGCACAGATTCTTAATCTTTGCTTGTGAAAAACATATAAATCTGTCAGAGTTTTTATTTTTCATAGTTCCAGATCAACATATTACGTTTTCTATATGCTTTTTTTTTTTTTTTGGTATAACCCTATTCTCGCTACAACTGTTATATCACTCAGTAAATTTTCTAGTTTCAGTTCTAATTACATTCAGGGAAATAATAAGTTCTGTAAGACTGAAACATATGTATTTATTTATTTTTAAAAAAGGCTCTGTGAGTGTTTTCTTTCCCAATTCCTTCTCACCTCTTTTGGGTTTTTATGTATTCTGAATCATGAGACATGCCCAGCGCCTTGGACAGGCTTTGGAGTCACAGCATGATGTGCTGTTGAGGCTTTTACTGAATTGTGCTGTTTTTATATAGTAATAGTCCATACGGAATTTGTTTGAATCGATAACCTTACATGCAGCTTTAGTCGTTATTAAAAGAAGTACCCAATTGATCAATTATATCAGTTTCTTATTATTTGTTGCGCTTAAGTGGAACTTCATGCTCTTTTGTGTTAACAGGACCCGTTGGTGAGGACATGTTTCACTGGCAAGCAACAATAATGGGCCCACAAGATAGTCCTTATGTAGGAGAGGTGTTTAGTCACGATTCATTTCCCCCCTGCTTACCCATTCAAACCTCCAAAGGTAAATATCTTATAACTGTTTTTTGTAATTGAATATAAATGATAGTTGTGGGATATTGGTCAGCAATTGTCTCGTTTGTAGATCTATTACAGATTTTTTTTTTCCATTCTACGTATCATCTGTTTTAATGTAGGGTTTAAAGTAAATGGTCGAGTAATTTGAGAGAGTTGAGTATTGACAAACATATTTCACAAAACGGTTTCATATATTAGAATAATGCTCTTGGCTTTGCAGGTAAAGTTCAGGACTAAAGTTTTTCACCCCAACATTAATAGCAATGGTAGCATTTGCCTTGACATCTTGAAAGAGCAGTGGAGCCCGGCCTTGACAATCTCCAAGGTTACCCTTTATTTCTTTTTTTTTTTTTTTTTTGGTATTACTGGAACATTTCTTTGGTGTTTTCTTGTCACTTAATCTGTCCCATGTTCTCAATCACTGCATGCATGTATTGGTTATAATGACTACATGGAGATAAAAATGTGCTCGATTTTCTTGCTGATCAATATGTTGCATTATCCTTTTATATTCTTAGTTAAATATGATGTAAAATCAAATGGGGGCCCAAAGTTATATACCATTTCTGATTGAAGGCCGCTTACTCAAGATCGTTTATGAACCCAACTGTCTGGATTCAATCAGTGATCACATCTTCAGCAACTCTTTAATTTTTTTTTCCTTAAAAACGATATACACTTAGAAGCATAAATCGGTGTTGGACAGAGTAATATTCAATTGGGGTTTTACAAAACCAACCCGCGCGATTACCTAGTTATCTCAAGCACAAACCTTTGTATTTGTTTCAACTTTACAAATTGTACCTTCAATAGAGGTGATTAATTTGCTAAGCAGATATAATCCTCAAAGATCTGCTTGTGAACTGTGATACCTTGATGGTCTCTTCAATAATTTGTGAGAGATATTTCTTCTTTTTCCAATTATTTAAGCTACTTCTAAAAGGTTGGTCCTTTTTGTGAGAGTAACTGGAACTTAAGCATTTTTCCGAACCGAGATAGACCAAGTTAAGAAAGAAAAACTAGTTCCGTATTTAGAAAAATTATCCGAGAACCCTCGACAACTCAAGACAAAAATTAATTACCTTAGCACATTAATTAAATACTCGTCAGATCAGTTAAGAGATTAAGCTAAAAAGCTACGATAAGATAAGTTAAGAATTTATTTAAACCGAATAACTACAAAAAAAACTTCATGAATTCATGATTGAGTCTTGACCTTATGTAAAAAAAAAGGGTAAGAGATTATCTATATTCGGGAAAGGCACTGTGGTTTTTTGATAATTTAGATCGAACATCAAGGTTGTGTTTTGTAATTAGACGTTTACCTTCTTTTCGCCCGTCCTATGGTTGTTGTCAAGTGTAGAAGAGAATGGAGGAGGTGGCTGAGATGAGGAGAATGAGAGAAGAATGGAGAAGGGAGAGGCACTGTGGTGTTTTGGTAATTTAGATCGAACATCAAGGTTGTGTTTTGTAATTAGACGTTTTACTTCTTTTTGCCCGTCCTATGATTGTTGTCACGTTTTATAAAGAATGGAGGAGGCGACTGAGATGAGGGGAATGAGAGAAGAATGGAGAGGGGAGAGTGATTGACTCAACTGATTCATAAGAAACTCATATTTTGCTATGGCTCTCGTTTATTTGTTGTCTTTTTAAATGGTGAAGTTATCTTGCTTAGCTATATTCGTAAAAAGTACTGAACTTGTGGCAACTCCTTTTAGCATTTTGTTGAGTTTTGGCAGATTTGGGCTAACGTTTTATGTGGCTCTAGCTTTGTCGTCCATACCTGGTGGTTGCATTTTAGTGTGAAATAATGCTTTTATTGATTTGTGTTCGGTATAAACAACTTTCTTTTTGTTAAAACAAATCAATAAAAGCATTATTTATCACACTAAAATGCAACCACCGAGTATGTACGACAAAGCTAGAACCACGAATGGATGGCCGACAAAGATCTTTGACAGCACTTGAAAGGCTACCTGGGTATTTGATGGACTGATTGATGCTTCTCGCTACATTTACCCTCATGGTTGAGTCCAACATCGTATTGACTTCATTTATGGTCTGCTGGACTTGTTGAAGTTGAACTTGAAGTTTGATGAGCCCTTTGTGGAGCCTGAAGCTGAGCCTGAAGCTCAGCTCGAAGCTGAACTTGAAATTGACTTTGGGTATCTAGGAAGTTTTGAAACTGAGACTGAATTTGGGTGTGGCCATTTCGGAGGGTTTCAAACTCAAACATCGCCCTAGGGGTGTACGGGTACAATACCGTTATTTCTCCTCATAAGCACAGAATTGTATCGAATCTCGGTCATTGCCGCATCAGCTGCGTTAATTGGATGCACTTCACTTGATTTCTCGAACGACTTCCTCTGGTGACACTCTCTTACAATTTGTTCATCTGTTGGGATTGCGCCATTTGAAATTTCCTCTACGTTGATTCCAGTCAATGTGAAATCCGGCGCTACACAGTCTCCGAGGGCAGGCAGGGCTGACATATGAGC